AAATATATTTGAAATCAAGCCCAGGGGCACAGATTACCCAGGCATCACACCTGGATGCACGACTGAAATAGCTTGGTCAATCAGAAAATTAAATGAATAGTTTAAGATACTACACTTTCTTGGTAGAACCTCATCAGAAAAATGCCTACCTGAGATGGTTAGGACTGTCAAGAAATGTGAACAGTCTGAGATTTTACTGTAGTTGGCAAGCTAATAAGTTAGCCTGCCACAATTCATGTTTGCTGGCAAAAGGCACAAGACTCCTGATTCAGATACAAAGGGTTTTCTTACAACCATAGCCGTCGAGTTTTCACACTTGTAACTAGTCTTCTCAGCCCCTGTTCCCACAGGGCAATGCAAAGAGGGTCATACGAGGTCTGCACATGCAGTGGGTTGCATTATATTAAAGGAGCACCCAACTAAAATTACGGAAACTGAATCTTTTATAATATCCTCTAAGCAAATCTGCCTGAACTTTGCCTTGGACAGAGTCATTATCTTTATTATACTGGACAGTAAACCTACGTTTTGCTCCAGAGAGAGAGAGTGAGAGAGAGTGTTTGTCTTCTAAGGCTGTTCTCTACACAAGCATCCTTGAAAAGATGGTCTAGAACAAAAGCTGTTAGTGCCTCTGCTTGCAAGATGTATATAAATATGAAGGATCTGTGGAAAATTATTTCCCAATAATATCTATCCCACATTTCTGCTTCCTATTGGCTTCTGGAGACTTGTCCCGTAAGTATGCCGCACCATGGGCTATTCTACTCTGGCCAACAGAAGCTGCATCGAATCTGTTTAATTAATTCATTGCATAGAGTATTTAATTAAGACTACTATCAACAGGATTCCAAGCAGTGTGGTGAGGCCAACCTCATCTTCCAGGGGTCCAGCCATACTCTCCAGGGTCCCAAACCTAGCTAACTGAACAAATCCCATAAAACATCAAGGTCAATGAAGGCCTGGTGGCTTCCTCTTTAAGTTTCTGTATTGACCTTTCCACTTGGTTTAGCATTAATTCAGGCGTAGCAGGATGTGTTGGTGATTGTCTCTACGGTGCCTTAGCCCAACAGGAGTAAGTCTGGGGCACCTCTATCATCCGTCACAGCTTTGGCCAGGTTGGCTGAAGCTGACCTGAATGCTTTCCAGGGACTAGTTGGTATCGTTGATCACTCCGGCTCAAGTCAGAGATCCATTTCACAGCACTTTTTCTAATTAGATGGCTCCTGTTGTAGGAAAAACTGCCCGCAGGGTGTGCATAAATAACAAGTCAGTTATGCCTCTGGGTAGCTCCCCCAGGTAATAAGGGTGGCCTCACTTTATATGGCTTTCAGCAGTTTTCTGAGAGCTATGTGGTATATTTCCGGGGGCAGTTTTAGGGTTGTTTCAAACCTTCTCTGTCTCCCCATACTTAACAGAAGCTTTGAATCCCTATGTGATCTGGCCTTTGCCCACCTCACCAGCTGTGTCTTTTCCTAACTTTTGCCTCAGTCTCTGCATTCTCTCATTCCCTTACGTCTGCTGTGCTCTCTCTTAATACATAGCCCTGCACAAGCTGGGCCCGCAGTAGAAAATGCTTTTCCTGCCAGTCTTCGCCTAATCAGTTTCTACTTACCCTTTGTTGTCTCTGACTTCTCCTCTTCTCCTTATCCTGTTGTACTAGACCTTGTGCCTTTGAGGTGTTAGGTACGTACTGCTTCACAGTAGTTATCACAATTTCAGTTTGCAGCTATTAGAGTTGTTTCGTTAGTGTCTATTCATTGCCAAACTGTATGCTTTATGATGGCTGGGAATGAATGTGTCGTTGCTTACTTTATGTTCCGCAGCTTCCTAGTACAGACTCTGGGAAGTAGTCAGTAGTCAGTAGTCCATAAATATCTCTTAAATTAATTAATATTTTTATGTGTTTAAAATTAAACATTTGGAAAGGATGTTGGTGTCAAGGCCTTGGGCAGTAATCATTCGTGTATCAGACGTGGCTCTTCATAGTTGGCTGTAGCTTGATTGACCAGGAAAGGAGATCCAGTTGTAAGACACCAAGTTGAATACAGGATGGTGTGATTAGCAAAGAAAGTGGCAATTAAGGTGAGCCAAAGAGACTTTTGCAGCACTTAGGGAAACACAGTTTGAGCCTGAAGAGTATAGCATTTGTTTCCTTGAACTTATCAACAGTCTACCAAATGGGCAGGCAACAATTAATCAGGAGGTGACTTAATGGGGCGCCTGGGTGGTGCAGTTGGTTAAGCGTCTGACTCTTGGTTTCAGCCCAGGTAGTGATCTTAGGGTTGTGAGATTGAGCCTGGCGTCGGGCTTTGTGCTCAGTGAGGAGTCTGCTTGAGTTTCTCTCTCCTCCCTCTGCCCTTCCCACTTGTGCCCTCTCTCTTTCTCTTTCGAAAAATAAATAAATACATCTTTTTTTTTTTTTTTTTAAAAGAGGTAACTTAATATGTAACTAAATCCCAGGCTACTTGAACTCTTAATGAAGAAGTCCTTCAAAGACCTGTCCTGCCAAGGTACAGGAGATGGATGTCAGATGATCCTGTTCCTCAGCTGGTTCCTCCAGCAGTTCAGGGAAGGGAAGGCCTCAAGGTGGTGCTTAGAAGTTGGATCTGTTTGGTCAAATGAAGAATAGTGATTATGTTCACACAAAGCTGCCATTCCATTTATCTGGAAGTTCTTTTTATTTTACTTGCACTTATTTTTTTTTTTTTATTGAGGTAGTTAATTATTAGGGAATTGATTAGGAGAGTGAAAACAGTCAAAATGTTTACTTTCAATTGTTTCTCTACTTTGCTATAAGCTGCTTAAAGTCAGGCACTCTACTTATTCTCTGTGTCTCGGTTACTTGCGATAGTGCCTAGGATGTACTGAGTAGTGACTCCATGGAGTTTTGTTCTGTAGGCTCCAGAGAGAGACTGCCTAGTTTCGACCAAGCTCTGCTTCTTGCTGTGTAACCATGGAAGTTTACTTAATCTCGCTAGCTTCAGCTTCGTTGTGGAGATAATAAAGCATAGAGGATTCTTGGGAGAACTGAATGACATAACGTATAGGAAACACTTAGGAAGTGCCTGACACATATTTAATGCTCGATGAACATTAGCTTTCATTTTTAGGAACATAACATCACACTCTCCCTACATTTTGGTCAGAGTTGGGAATCTTAAAATCAGTTCAAATATTAATAGCTATGTTAGTACAGGCAATTAGTGGTGATTGCAAGTTGAGAGGCTCACCTGGGCTGTTCTTCAAGTGGTGACTCAGGGATCCAGAATCCTCCTCTCGTATTTCTGTCTGTGCTCTAGAGCCTCCTTGGAAATCCAGCTGCATCCCCCTATCCAGCTGGCTTATGAGTGAAGAGCAAGAGTATGTCGGATCAAGCAGGCAGATTTAGGGGCCAAGTGTAGCGGTGATATAATTCTCTTCTACCCATGTTCTTATTGGTTGGAATTCAGTTACATAACCCCATATAAATAAATGCAAGAAGCCTGGAGAATGTAGTCTTGTGTGCCTAGGAAATGCTCTGAGGAACTCACTGTATGTCTGCAAGATTTTATTAATAATCACCAAATATCCATAATCAGCTTGAAATAATATCATTTTCACTGAATTTAATCTAGTTTTCTTGATGTTGCCCTTGTTGTTTTCATTCCATTTATTTTCACAGATTGCCTGGTATGGCCATGTCCTGCCTATGGGTAGATTCAGTTTGACAGCTGGAAGAACAGTAGGAAAGAGAGAAAAAACAGGGGACCCGCCTCCAAACAGGCACCATGAAATTGTCAAAGCTGTTTTATGTCTTGGAAATCATAAGAACTGCAGAGATAGATGTCTATTGATTTCTCATTAAATTCTGCTTTGATTTAATTGCACTTTTACATAGATCCCATTTCAGACGTTAATAAGCTCTAGCAGCTTCATATTTGACTTTGAGATTCTAGTTAATCTAAAGTTTTATCTAGTAGGAATATATATATATGGTATGTCTTATTCATTAGCTATATGATATGCTTTTAGCAGTTGTTTTTCAAGAGACATCTCCATAGGTCAGATATTAATCTCCATTCCACCAAGTAGAGGTACCTAGTTCTTACATTAAGGCAACTGACCATGTTGGTTTGACATCCACTGGTTCTTTGGCATTATTTTTAGTCACTCTTTATTCTCTGTATTCTTAATTCATTTGATGAAGAGGGTTTTGGATTCCCCAAGCTAAGAAACAAAAGTGGCTGAGTGTCCTCCTTATTGCTTTTAAACCTGAGGGATTATCAGATGCATTACAACTCCATAAAGCTCAAGGCAATTTAATAACTTGCGCACTCCAAATCATAAGAACATATAAAACAACTAGGACAGTAACAGCTTAAGTAGGACATTTCCTTTCTAAACAGTGAGAAGTAGCAGCATTAGACTGAGTCATAATGGAACTAAAGCTTTGAACTTTGCAGTCACTGAAACTATTTGTAGCAATTGGCTAGTTTACCTTTGAGTCTTGTCAGGTGCTTTTCTTATATATCATCAAAAGTATATGTGATATATTGATGGTTAGAGTTATATCTGGGTAACTTAGATCTGCGTCATAAGGTCATGTTAATACTTCCGCCTCTTGGGACAGATGCTTTTATTAATATCCCTTGTCGCGGGATCTCTGCTCTGGGCACACGAGGTACCCAAGAGATGGGTGCAAGCCTTAAGGTTTCTCCTCCTTGATTTTAGAGGGCTCTAAATTGAGATCATAGAACTGCAGTATGCCTGGTGAGTATTCTTGTGTTAGGATTCATAATATTAGGATTAAAGGCTCACATGATTGAATACATTTCCCTCTAAGCCATATTCTTTCATATTTTCTGTCCCAAGAGTTCCTAAAAAAAGGGGGTGGCGGAGAGGCTAAAGTTGAAGTTCAGGTATTGTAGTTTTTTTATCCATGGTATCCAGGCAGCTCTTTATTCAGCTGTATTTAGTGACCAAATCTAGGAGCTGTTTCAACCAAGTATGTGTAACTATGATTGTCTTAAAGGAGTTTATTTGTCAGCATGAAACTTACTCTTCAGGAAGATGCCAAGGGCATATTTTTGTTGGTGGGATCTTTTCTGGACCTTGGCTGGAACCTGAGGATTCAGAAAGAATGGCAATGTTGTTTTTCTCTGATTTATTTTTTTCTCAACTGTTGCATTTTTGTGTTTTATGTGTGCTTAGCAGCTCTGTGCACAGTTTTATTGACTTCTAAACTAAGCAAGTAGAACAAACTCTGGTGGTATAAAGTGCTAAGTGAGCGAGCCGCAGGGAGCACATTATACCAAGGCTCTTCACTCGGCTCTGGCTGCCAATTTGCTTTCAAGTGTGATTCAGGAAGCTGGTTATGGTCTATCAAGCCCTAAATAATCTAGGCCTTGTTCACCTCAGAAATTAGCTGCTGCTTTTTATACCATCACCACAATTAATCATGGCCCATCTTGCTCATGTCACATGTGGGAAGGATCTGCAAATATTTCATTTGATGAACTTTTCCTACAACCTGTCCCCTTTGCTATAATGAGTGGTAGCATAGAGGAGTAGTTAGGAGTTGGACTTTTTGAGACTGGGCTCCTGCTCAAAATTCAGTTTTGCTACATAATAGCTGTGGGATGTTGATCAACATACTGTAACCAGTGCTACTGTTAATTTTAAGAGCAAACACACAATGCTGTGTGTCCGATACCATTGTAAGTTTTATAAATATTAATTCTTTTAATTATCACTCACTCCCAACCCTATTCTATAGGTTTTATTGTTTTCCCCAACATGTAGGTGAGGAAACAGAAAAAATACTGAAACTCTGATTTGCAGATTCCCCAACTGGAAAATGACAATAATAGTACTAATGTGATATAATATAATGTGGTAAGGATTAAGTGAGATTTTGTATATAATAGTGTCTTTCACTAAGTATGTATGCAGTAAGTATTAGCTATTAGTATTATGAGCACAGTTTTATTAGGGGTCTCCAGAGAAAGAGAACCAATAGGTTATATTAAGATATATATGTACAATATAATTAGGATTTATTACAACTGATTAATATAAGTAAAATAAATGTGAATATATTCTATATGAAGTAAATAAATATATGTAAATTTAGTGTAAGGAATTGGCTCATGTGGTTATGGAGGCTGGGAAGTCCAAAATCTTCAGGGGTGGGCTGATAGTGAGGGAGAATCAGGGAGAGCCAGTGTTCCAATTCAAAGGCTGTTAGGCAGTAATAACCAATGTTGCAGATGAAGTTTGAAGGCAGTTACCTAGAGAATTGTCTTACCTGGAGGAGGGTCGGTTTACCGTCTGTTCAGGCCTTAAACTGATTGGATGAAGCCCACCCATGTTATAAGGCAATCTGCTTTACTGACTAAAATGTTAATCTCTTGTTAAGGTCTTCCCATTTAAATGTTAATCTCACCCAAGAATATCCTCATAGAAACACCCAGAAGAGCATTTGACCAAATATCTGGGTACCTCATGGCCCAGTCAAGTTGACACTTAAAATTAACCACCATCACAGTAGTTTCTCTGATGTAATAATCAATATGATGAATATATTTTCTCCACTACATATAATCTTCTCAAGACAGTGACTATGTCTAATGTACTTTTGATATTTTAAGGCTGTATTTTCACCCGAGATAATGGCATTAAAAGACTACGGATGCATATGTACGTGTGTGTGTGTGTGTGTGTGTGTGTGTGTGTGTGTGTGTGTGTATTTTGTTTTGAATCTAAAATTGTCCATTTCATCCATGCAGACAAGGACATTATTATTTTTTTTTCTACTTACTTGAGGGAAGGAGTATCTTTCTTAACTCCTGCATTCCTGGGACTACGTGGGTGTCCTTGAGGGATTGTGAGCAATGACTCTATTTTGCTCTAGATGTGACTATTGTCAGGCGAGGATTTGCCTGTCGTTAGCATGAGGGTTCTATGGCTGAGATCCAACAGAACACTCTCCTATCAAAAATATACTTGACCAGGAGGTGGCTTTATAAGTTCACCTTGATATTTGGAAGAACTCAGTTGAAATGCACACTTTTAGTACTCTACTGCAGTTGAGTTCCTCTATTTTAGTTATTTTCTTAAAAAAGAGAGGAAATGATCCTTTCTGTTTGTCAAGCTCTTCATGCTTTATGATGCTCTTGTCCCTGGAATAGCATTTAGTTATTTCAAGGCCTTGAAATGGACCCTGGAAGATGTAATTTAACTGGCTTTGTATACAAGCATGCAGCAACCATAATGAAATTGATATTTTGTCTGGTTCTCTCTAATCACACAGTAACATGTATCTTTCCATGCAATTGGAGTAAATTAAAATAAAACACCATTTAATCAGAAGACCTTTGATAATTAATCATTTCCTATATTTACATTTCCCCCTCTAGACTGTTTGCAGAACTCAGGCTTCTAAACATTGACTTTAACTCCATTTGGTTCATGGCTTTATAGTACCTTTTCAATGCTGAAGTGACTCTTTGACTTAATCTTTCATGTAATAACGGTTAATATTTTTCCCCAAGCTGTTTTTGGACCTTCAGGACCACACTAATCCTGAGATTGTGGATTGTAAGACAAAAGTCAGAAACAGGGATGAAATATTGAAAATTTGACTCCATTTAGCAGGTTGAACCTCTGTATTAAAAAATAACAATAGGAGGGGCGCCTGGGTGGCTCAGTGGGTTAAGTGTCTGATTCTTGATCTCAGCTCAGGTCTTGATCTCAGGGTCATGAGCTTAAAACCCCGGGTTGGGCTCCATGTTGGGCATGGAGCCTACTTAAGAAAATAAAATAAAAAATAACAGTAGGATATGATGAGTGTCATGATCTTACATGGAGGAAGCCAGGGTAGAAAAACTATAAAGAGACACAGTAAAAATAAAACCCCACAAAATCTTAAACAAAGGGCTAGTAACCCTGCACTTCTGTCAGTCTCTATTTTATGCAAAACAGTTCTGCCTAGTCTTCCTTAAAAATTCTTTCAGTAAAGAGCTGTAGGAAAGGAAAAGTACAAAAATTTCCCTCTAGTATATATAATGTCCAGTCTCTCTCTCTTAGGAGCAATGTCATGCCCTGTTGTGATGTCTCTCTTCTATGTGATTCACGTGTAAGGGCTCCCAATTGATTCCACTTTGTCAATGGTCAGTAAGATTCCCAGTTCATTCTGCTTTGTTTTTGGTCAAAAAAAATATTGCTTTCTTCTTCTGAGACTCACGAGATGCACATTTAGATACAGTGCCTGCTGACTCTTGAGACGATGCATCCAATAGTTCTATATCCTGGCAGTCATTCTGGAAAGAAAGTTTTTAGAGTTTATCAGTGGCTTATCATGACTCCTTGATGATGGGGACTCTCCGGTGTTCAGGTCCATAGTCTTGAGTGACGACTAAATCTACTTGGTTAAAAATGAGCAGGAAAGTGGGGAGGAGAAGAGCCAAAGGGTAGATAGAGTAGAACCTATCTCCCTTGATTTGGCTTTTTTTTTTTTTTTTTTTTTACCACAGTGTCCAGATAGAGTGACCCTGCAAATAATTTACCAAGGTTGACTTCTGCTTTTGACCTCAGAAATCTTCCTGACAACCATCTCCAACAATTGACTTTGGGGAAAACTTAATAGATTCTGCCCCATTATTTGCTGGATAAAGTCCCAGAACAATAATTTCCTGAACTGAAATATGACTGCTACATGTCATGATGAGAAGAAAAACAACATACTAACTATTGGCAAGGTGAGATTGCTGCAGAGGTTTGGGATAGAGTAAACAAACACGGTGGCCCATTTTGCACACTCCACTGCAGTACAGAATGTCTGTGTGAAGTGATGGAGGTTCTCCACTGAGACTCTTGGCTCACAGTACAGCAACTAGAGGCAGAAACCTCTCCCTGAAGATTCATGCTGCATATGAACAAAACAGTTTCTCTTGGTGCCTACTCCCCCGTTAAGATAATTCTGGGAGAGAAGCTCTTCCAAAGGTCCCTGGGGCTCCTTTCTGCCTTAGGGCCTCTAAACTTAATATTCTCTTCCCTGGAAGCTGCTGACCCAGATCTTCTCTAGGCAGGTAGCTCTCTGCTGTGTGGATATCAAATATTTACTTTTCAGACTCCTTTCCTCACCCCAAACTAAAGCAGCCCTCACTGTCACTCTTTCACTTCAGATTTATGTTTTACATAGCTTTATGTTAAAACATAGCAAAACATGTTTTAGCAGAATGCTGTCTCTGTTTGCTTGTGTATCTATTGTCTATCATTCTCCATTCCACCACTAGAATGAAGGATCCAGGAGAAGGAGGGAGCTTGCCTTTTGAGTTGGTGCTGTATTCCCTATGTATTTGTATCATCAGTGCCTTAAAAAATATTTGTTGAATGCATTGTTGACACACAGAAGAGAGAGCCACTTTAGAGTTTTCATTTGCAGCGTTTTTATTTTTAAGATTTTATTTTTAAGTAATCTCTACACCCAGCACGGGGCTCGAACCCACAACCCCGAGATCAAGTTGCATGCTCCACCGACTGAGCGAGCCAGGCACCTCTCATTTGCAGCTTTTTATGAGTAACATAAATAGCACTAGCAATGACACTCTTTAACATATTTTGAGGGCCGTGGACCAGGCACTCTGTCTCAGCACAGTGCCTGACATATTTTCTTATGTCAACCTCAAAATAACCTTAAAATTTAGACACTGTCATTGTCCCTATTTTGTAGAAGCAGAAACTGAGGTACAGAAAGGTTCTTAACATTTGGCAAAGCTTCTGCAGCTGGTAAGTGGCAAAGCTAGGCTCTGGTTAAGTCTTTGCAGCTAACTACCTATTTCAGGTCCCGAGGCATTTTTCTCTGGAACATGACACAGTTTATGAACTTTGCTTTTATATGAATAATTAAGAATAGTTGATGCTTGGCAGTATGATGTGCTATGATAGTTTCGGAATTCCATTCTGAGTTATACTGAATGACAGAGTCTCTGAAGGTGGCTCTTTTTTCTCATAAAGACTCTATAGTCCACGTTCTTAACCTTTTGTAGACCGTGCAAATGGTTATTTTTATTGTTTGAGGCATATTGTGAAGCAGATGTTTCCTTTCTTGTCTATTGGCAAAATTTTTCTGTTCACATATATCAGTTGTTTGTACAAGAAGATGCCCCTTTACTTTTCGGGCTTGTAGTAGTCTCATTGGTTAGAAGCTGCTTTTTAGTTGTTATCACAGTCAAATTTGGTTCAGTCAAGAGCTTTAGGAAGGGTTTTCCTGTGATCTTCATATATAACCAATCCAAAGGTAATATATTGTGTTGAAAATCCCTCAGATCTCAATGTCGAAACATTTGCCAGATTTGTGTCAAAGGTAAGTCATAGCACCCTAGTGCCCATAAGAATGATACTGTGAAATGGGAAAAATGTACTTTCAGTTGACCTACTATAAAATCACTACCCTAATCTGTGAAGCTAGGATCGTAAGAGAGCTTAACATGGCAAGTATTTGATAGACTCTCAAAAAATATCAAAGTAGTTAGCTATCCTGAGTCACCCTCCATAAACTTAAGGGTAGTGAAGATACTGCATTTCTTCATATTCTGTAATAAGCAGAATTCCAATTTGTGGAATGCAGGGGCAGGGTGGGAAATTCAAGCTCATGTAAAAATTTCATGTGCTTTCCTTCTTTCGCGGTTGTGCAGAGCTCCAAGTTTATGCACTCCAGTAAGACAATGATGTGGGCCCGCTTGTCATTGGTGATTAGTGCAGTGGTAGTGATTCGAGGGATACCCACGTTTTTAAATGAGTTGTTTCCTTCTGGTTCTCTCTCCATTAATTCAATACTGCAGTTTGGGCCCAGAGATCTTAAGCAAAGTTGAGAATCCAGGAGCCATAGTAACTAGGACCTCTCCTTTTGTGTCCCACACAGCAGTTCCCCTACTTCCCTACTTGGCCCTGATACCTCCGTAATGGAGAACAAGGTGCCAGTCCCCAGACCTCTGTCCCCATTCTAGGCTCAGGAAATCTTCCTTCCCTACTCAGGTCTGCTCAAAATTACTTTCAATGGGCCACTCCAAATCTCCAAAATAAAGAATGAAAGGGAAGACATAAAATTTAGTATTTCAACAAATTATTTTTGTCACAGTAAACTGAGTACCTTTCAGAAAATGAATCCTAGGAAACAGTGTGACTTAGGTCCATTTACTTTATATAACAAAAGAACTATTTTGAAGAGAGAGTCGAGGACAAGGTGATACCCAGAATGGAGATTATAGTAGATGTTTATCCCAAATTGTTAAGAGCAGGGGTCAAGATGCTCTCTTGAGAAAATTCTGTTAACATAAGAGCCGTGTTCTCATCATGAGGAAAGTTATTATATTGGGTACCATTAAAATGCAAATAAACCAAGAAAAGCATGTTTCTCTTACCAGGAAGGCCTCTGTGGCTCCCATATACCTTTGGTCAATTCTCCTTTCCATGAATGAGACAACTAAAGAATTCAAAA